CCCACAAATTTCTCGCATTTCAGAAACCCAACAAATCAGATCAAATCAATTCCCAAAAAGCTTTAAAAAATCTTATTCGGCATTTGATGTAGCATTAGTTATGAATGCTACGCTTTAAAATTCCACTATTTTACCTGTTCTACTGCATCGAAGTGAAACATGGGATATCACGCTTTTTAGGAAAAGTTGAAAGGTTGTAGCAAAAATAATGCCCAATTTTGACTGTTTGTTTTTTATAAAGTTATCAAAACATTCAATGAAGGCGTAAAGAGGCACAGCGCTTTTTTTATCACGGGAATTACTCAAGAGAATTAAAAAGTACCCAACAAAGGCATAGATATATCTGGTAAGAGCTATAAAACCAATAAAAATATACAGAGATCTAATAACACCGTGAAAGTATCCGGTAAAAAAATAACAGGGCTAAGAAGATATCCGAAGACAACCCCGTGACAATATGTGTTTTGTAACGCTGTTACACAGCACAAAACGCATAATAAACGAGAATGAAACCTGACGAATGTTGTGCTCGCCTTGCTGCTGCTGCTTGTGCTGGAAAGAGCTCATGGCATCATCAAAATTCTGAATCGCTTTCTCGACAGCCTCCTGATCCAGTACCTCCATCATTGAGTCCAGCTCCTCATCGGTGTTCCGAAAACGACCAAAATCGGACAGCGCACTGTCCAGCAGCGTTGATAGTTCCTCATCGTCTGCTACGTTATCATCCCTCTTCGATTCCGTCGTCATTCAACCTTAATGTATAACGATCTTCTATACTTCATTCAATGACTGCTACTAATTCATCATCGCGCTTCGTCGAGGGACGCTGTTTATTCTGGAGTGGTCGCGAGAGGCACAACAAACTCTTGGCCAATGCAATAATTGGTCAACGCACGGGCTACCCGTGCGAAGATGCGTTTTTCGCATAGTTCCCTGCAGTTTTTGTTGCTACCGGCACCGGTTTCCTCGGCAAATGCTTCTAGCTAAATAAATTAAGACTGGCCGCCAAAACTGTCAGGAAACATCCCCTTAAAATTTTAACTTTCTAGCTTCCGTAGCCCCCCAAGATTTCAGCCTTCTAGCTTCTCAGATCCTCGAGTTATGAAAACTTACCCGAAAAAAATTTTGGGGGACTCGTACGCGGGTACCACGCTTACCCGGAGGCTGGATTTGAGCTCATTAGTATCTACTTGGACGGGGAACATTCCCTTAAAATTTCAGCTTTCCAGCTTTTCAGAAACCCGAGTTATGAACTTACGCGGGAGGAATTTTGGGGGGCCCGTACGCAGGTACCACGCGGGGTATGGCGCCAATTTTGGGGATTGGGGGCCGTACGTGCATGTGGATTAAGTCCCCAAAGTTTCGGCCCCGTAGCTTTTGTTGGTCTTGAGATAAAAAACCATGACAGACGCACACACGTACACACACACACACAGACAACCTCTCGTCAATATGCATTTTCCGCATTGCATTGCTGCAAAAAACGCATGAAAATTACTAACTACAGCGACAGAGAGAGAGAAAACACAGTGAATTTAACAATGGTGCTATTTTGCTCCCAAAAAAAAAACCAAACGGGCCACAGAGCCTCTATCTAAGTTCCGCTTTTACATTACAACCTTTTCATCCCTCTCAACTACTCTGAATTTATAATTAAGAAATTCTATTTCTTATCTTCCTCCCCTCCTTGTTTTTCCTTCCTTACACTCCTTCCTTTCCCTTCTCTTCTCTGAATACCACCACCGTCATACTGCCACGAGGTCCAGTAGTGGTGTTGAGCTAAGACGTATATGACTTAATGGACTGAAACGTCTTACCTCATTCGTTCTTCCTTCCACTTTCTCCTGTTTTCTATCTTATACACCTTCCTCACTATGACACCCAAGATCAACCTGGACGTTACAATCGGCTTGACAGCTTTTTCTTGAAAAAGCTTCTAAGAAAAAAAGCTTCTCCTTGACTCAACGAGGAACAGAAAAGAGGAGGGCAGGGGAATGAGTGGGGCTCATCAGGGGGGCGACAGGGGAAGCCGAAGAGCTTCCCTTAGTTTTAGCTTTATAGACCCGGCCTTCTGTAGCACTGCTGCTTGTGCCGCTGGGGGAATGGGGGTGGGCGAAAAACCCCCCATCGCAGTTGGATCCACCTATGAAGGTAACAAAAAACCCGTCAGCCGGCCCCACTTGACACAAAATCGACTATGAAGCACAACCGAACCCTGCCAAAACCTTCAACAAACACGTAGCAATGCACAACTTTTAATCAACAAATCGCCAAAATGCGAGCTGACAATTTGCCAAAAGATTGGAAGGCTACACGGCCCAAACGCCTACACAAAATACGGACGAGCTAGTTCGGTATCGGTGGGCGCCTCTAGCAGAAACACTCTCAGCAAGCCTCGACTGACTTTGTTTACTATTGCTCGTTCAAAATCAGTTTTGACTTGATCCTTGAGACAATTTTAGGTCCAGAATCTCCCAAGCTGCAGAGTCCGTAATGCATCCAAAAAACGAACAAAACTTCAGGATTGCCAGAAGGTTGATGAGCACCAGGCGATGCAGCATATCAACCGGGTTGTTTAGCTAGGTGAGCTTTCCAAATATGTGAAGTTTTGATGTTTTTTCCATTTCAATCCGTACAGCAATAACTACGAAGAATACACAACCAGATCGAAGAATCCATTTTAAAATTTACTGCCAAAAAACTCACTTTAAAATATCTGTTGATTAAACACTCTATTTTCGGGAGAATGCGACCAAGTCAGGAACAAATTTTTTTATTAAAACTATACAGTACAAGAAATGCAAAAAACAACAAATTACAGTATTAAGAATGAAATATAAAATAATGAATAACAATCATACTTCTTTAATACTATACAGTACAGTAGCAGTATAACTCACCCCCCTCCCCTTCCTCCCTTCGTCCCCCGTCAACTCCCCCTCTCCCCTCCCTCCC